CTCTGTTGTGGTTTTAAAACAAGATATCTTGCGCATTCTACCTTAGGCTAATATTTTAATGTACTTCCTTATTGAGAGTTGTAAGGTAGCAATATGTGTTGTGAAAAATGTCTGTGCAATATGTTATCATGTTGTTAATTTAGTTGTTACATCACTGTCCCTTTCTAATAAACAAGTGCCATTTCATAGTCAAGTGGAGATGTGACTGTATAGGCCTAATGGTGAAGATTTTTCCACAGGTTAAAAATCTGTAACCCAACCCATTGTAGGCTAAATTATAAAAACCAATGTACTTTTGAAGAATATTCGGTGTATTTTCTGTACACAGAATGTAAATTATCTGTAGGCCTACATTTTCTTTGATTTGAGGTGTGTGTGTGTGTGTGTGTGTGTGTGTGTGTGTGTGTGTGTGTGTGTGTGTTTTATTGCGGTGATTTTTTTTTTTTACTGTGACACAAAAGCAGTCGTTGTCAAGGAAGTTTTAATGACGTCATTTCATGGAAACTCTACCCTGGCATGACATTTTTATTGATCTAAAAAAAGTTTTGTTTGTTGAGCTGTTGTACAATTTGAGAACATGTGTTTGACCGGACAAACAGGTTTAATGTGCTTGTGCATTCCATTGTAAATGAAGAAAAAGGTTTACAAACTTGTGAAATAAACCCACTTTAACACACTGAGCCACTTTACTCCACTTGCAATTGTGGAGTGGATTTCCAGAAGTATTGAGGTACAGAGATACAAACAGTACTTTCTTATGTGTTGTGCTTTGTGATCTACAGTAATGTTGAGAAACCTTCTGAAATGTGAAATCAAGATTCATTGTCAAATTCAACAATGCCTAAGACATGGTTCGCCCAAAAATGATAATTCTGTTATCATTTACTCACCCTCATGTGTCTCTCCAAGTCCAAACCTCCAGAGGTGTACAATATAATTAGTACAGATGTACATGTCACGGTCATGTTCGGTTTAGTTTTATTTTGTTCCTGTTGGCCTGTCTGAGTTCTTGTTAGTTTCTATGGTTAGCCAGTTAATCATTCTGTTCAGCTGTTCCCGTTTAGTTCCCTCATTTACTCTGTGTATGTTAGGTTTGATTTAAACGAACCCTGGTGCGATTGCAGTGCGGTTCATTTGAATAAGTGTGAACGCTGCCATCCGTGCGCACCAAACAAAGTGGACCGAGACCCATCTTTTCAGTGGGTCTCGGTCCACTTCCAGCCACCTCGTAACAGTACAGATACTATGTCAAAAAATGTACTTAATTAAACATTTTGGTTTACAATTTATTTGAAGGTGACTTAGTTACATTGTACTTGCTCAAATAAGTACTGATTTTAATAAACTCCATATTATTTACTATAAAGTTACAGTTAGGCTTGGGGTTTGGTTTAGCGTTACTTGTGATTTCTTACTGTTATTACTATAGTAAGTAGTAAAAATAATAAAAAGTATCTATATACAAATGCATTTAAAAGTGAAATGTAAACACTTTTTAAATTGACTTTTGGAAATCGACTCATTATTCTGACACAACAGATGTCAAACTAAATGCAATGTCGTGAAACCTGTTACCTGAATATTTTTGGAGGAGAAACTGCAACAGAAACATTTTACAGTTTGACATTTGAATATAGAGATTTCTCGACTAATATTCAAATATCAGCTTCTAGCAATAAAAAAAAAAAAAAAAAAAAAACTTTATATCATTTCAAGTGGGGAAGAATAAAGATCTGTTTGTTATTTGGCATTTTGTATTTATAGGACCTGTGTTCTGGTAAAAGGATTCCATGATCTTTTGGACTTACTTTTTCTATGAGGAAGTTGTTTTATTGTTGCTACTATTTTATTAACACTAGAACGGCCACGACGGTCATTTTGACCGTTTTAAATTTTATATCTGCAATAACTTTGTTGAAAAAAATAATGATATTATTATTTATAAATGTATAATTAAACTGGTTTAAATGTACAGTTTGGTGTTGTTTTGTTTTTAAAAGATATCCTAATATGCATTAATCTCTCAATTGGGTATTTATCATTAATAGAGTTTGCAATAATGGTCAAAATTAGATGTCAATAATTAGATGTTAATAAAATAGTAACAACAATAAAACAACTTCCTCATAGTCCATCTTAGAAAAAGTAAGTCCAAAAGATCAAGGAATCCTTTTACCAGAACACAGGTCCTATAAACACAAAATGCCAAATAACAAACAGATCTTTATTCTTCCCCACTTGAAATGATTTAAAGTTTTTTTTTTTTTTTTTTTATTGCTAGAAGCTGATATTTGATTATTAGTCGAGAAATCTCTATATTCAAATGTCAAACTGTAAAATGATTCTGTTGCAGTTTCTCCTCCAAAAATATTCAGGTAACAGGTTTCACGACATTGCATTTAGTTTGACATCTGTTATGGAATTCTGGCACTTCGAGTGTTAATCCACACATGTAAAACATCTTCAGACAAAAATGAGGATTGGGACCCACTAGACCATCATGATTCATTTGTGTCTTCTCCTTCCACCCTGCTGTCCTCTTCCTCTCTTCATACACCAACTCATTTCTCATTTATCAATTCCATCTGTACTTCATCATCATCTTCTTCTTCTCAGTCTTTCTCCATGATCCTCATTGTTTCTTTGGGTTTCTATGCAAATTAGCAAATGGCATTTCCTGTGTTGTGTGCATGACTAAGCCAGCAGATCTCTGAGAAACAAACCTGGAAAACCTGAAAACAGTGGTTGGTGTGGTGTTTTTGGTGGTTGATTGGTTAATCATAAAAATGAGAAAATACTTTGAGCAAAAGCACTTAAAGTCACATAAAGCCAAATCCTCTAAATGAACTACTGAATTTATGCCTCATGTTACGAAGACACACACATGGTGTGATATCCCTCAGCGGTTAGCCGGTTGATGTCTGCTGTACGTGACTTGCCCTTTTGTTGAGGAAAAAGCTATAGCTATTCTATAATTAGACCATTTATTGAAAAATGAAGACACCCTTTCCAGTAATTAATCTTGTTGTTTGTTGCTTAATTTAATTGCCTGATTAGATAGCTGTTAAAGTTATTTATTTGTTAAGATCATATTGCTCTTGTTTTAAACCCGCCACTTTATGCAAAACCAGTTCATTCTTCAAACAAGTCCTTCTTTTTTACTAATCAGATTTCAAAGAAACTTTGGGGAATTTTTAGGCATCCTGTAGAGGTCTTGAACATATGAACACGCACGGTCACTCGCAGAACAGGTTTCTTTTTTTTGTTTGTTTTTGGGTCAAAGCCTTTTCTGTTGCAGATTTTATTACAACTGTATTGCCCAATCAGAAACTAGGAACTATTTGTTTTATAAGGATGCTTATCATTATTTGTTTCTTCTTTATTAGAATTACAGTATCAGTTAATCATCGACATCTGTGTTTGCATTTAAGTTCCGTCTGTTCAGTTAGTCTTTGTCCGATCTCTGTTGTATTAAGTGTGTGTGTACCTTCTGCCCGTCTTCTATGTACCTGTTTGAATTATTATTATAAGTAAAAGTTTGCCTTGGAACTTTGGACTCTTCATCTTCTTCTGCCTGCACCACACAGTAAACATCTACCCCAGTCCAGACAGCTGTGTAGCAAGTGTTAATCATTTTAAGAGATAAGAAAATATACATTTTTAGATTTAGGTAGGGAACACTGACACTACTGTCACCCCATTATAATTAATAATTTCTGAAATAATCAGTCAAACAACCCTAAATTCTTTTTAATTATACGTTTGAAATAAAAATATGAAATGAATAATGCAATGTTAAATAAAAAAGGTATCGGCCTAAAAGATCAGTCAGTACATTCACTTTATAACAGGAAAGTTAGCTTGCAGCTATTTTATCCTCATTTTACCGGAATAATGTCATTGTTTTTCCGGCTATATGAGCCAAGTGATGTTTGCTACATGACTCACCCTTAGAATAATTTTCCTTCACAGAAGAATGAGAGATGACTTAACAGATTTCTTTTATGCTTTAAGTTGTTCTAGGTCACTGAAGTATTACTTTAAGCTATTGCATCTCTGTTAGTTATTTAATCAATCATTTTACTATTGCAAGACAACTTTAACTTGCCACTGTTACCGTGCGCTGCAACCGAATCATTCTTTTTGAGAAGATTTTACTGACATTTTTAGGACGTTAAATTATACCATCAATTATAAATATGTATCGACTTCATTCATACGTTTTTTTTGTACGGTTATAGGACCTTCATGCTTTGGAAAAATGTTGTTTCAGTGTGTATCACGCATGGCACAAATTCATATGAAAACATAACCTCATAAAATAGTTTTATTTTTAGAAACACTAAAATCACCCGGCTCATGCACATCGATCTCAACATTAAAAAGCCATCAGAAACAAAAATCTTATTTTAACGCTTTTTTTTTTTTACAAGTTTAGATTGCAGAGTTTGCGCAGGTGACAATTGCGCATGACTGAGAGTCACCAACATGTCCCTTATTACACTTTCAGACATACCGGTTGCTCAATAAGAAACTCGAATGAACAATGAAGGAGTTTACAGACGGAGAGAGGTGAAGGCGTTAAAATGTGATGAGAGATTATGTGGGCGTGTTGCAAACAGGTTAGCAGGGGTATTTAAGAGCAGGACTGCAGGTGTACCGTACGTGCTGTCAGAGATGAAGATGAAGATGATCCACATACATAGTGTAGCATTTGTCATCTCTCTTCTAGTGATAGGTAAGACCTTTTATTGCATAATTAATGCTTTAGGATACCTAATAATTAATTTGAACCAACATAACCATTACTTACTTTTTATATTGCATTACACTTTTTTTCTCCACTGAAGTTATCACTAAGTGAACTTTGTGTTTCTTCTTTTCTAGGGTGTAATGCACAACTGGATGGTAACCATTTTTTCAACAATTTAAGTTCCCAAATTCCATTAAAACGACCAATTTTTTTAATCTAAAATGTGTTTTCTTTACCTTGTCTATTGTCAGTGTGTGGCAAAACAAGTGTTGCACGTTCCAACACAAGGATAGTGGGGGGGCAGAATGCAACGGCTGGCGCTTGGCCATGGCAGGTCAGCATTCATGGGAGCGAGGGCCATTTCTGTGGTGGATCACTCATCAACAATCAATGGATTCTGTCAGCAGCTCACTGCTTTCCAGGGTAATTATAATAAACCAATCATTGCAATTACTTTTTTTTTTTAAATCATTCAATTGATGTGGCAAATGCTTAACACTTCTTCTTCTATCATATTCCAGTACAGCACCCTCTGGCCTAACTGTGTACCTGGGCCGACAGACACAGGCTGGACCAAATCCAAATGAGGTGTCCAGAACTGTCTCTAGTATCATAAATCACCCAGCCTATAAGACTTCCTCTCACGATAATGACATCGCTCTTCTGCAACTGGCTTCGCCGGTGAATTTTACTGACTTTATCAGTCCGGTCTGTCTGGCTTCCTCAAACAGTGTGTTCTTCAACAAAACCTCCAGCTGGGTCACTGGATGGGGAGCGATTCGTTCAAACAGTACGTATTTAATTGAACTAACCTCGATTACAGTCACATCATACTGTACTATTGCAATAACTGATGTATATTTGATCATTGTATGTGTTTCTCAGCTCCCCTGCCTTCATCGATACCTCTACAGGAAGTGCAAGTGTCTGTTTTTGGAAACAGGCAGTGTAAATGTCTTTATAGTGTCGTCTCACAAATCACAGACAACATGATATGTGCTGGACTATTGGAAGGGGGCAAAGACTCCTGTCAGGTAACAACTCCTATACTTCTGTTTGTGTTACTTCATATAGTTTAAATGAGTTTCTGCAAAGTGTATATAGTTATAATTAAGAATAAGTAGAATGAGGGGTCTCTAAACTAAAACTTTCAAATAACCTGATAATGTAAGGGTTGAACTTTGACTAATGTTAGGGAATTCAACCTAGTGAATCAAGCAGAAATGTAATATTTATACACAAATCAGTTTTTCAGTTTAGCTTTATTCAGAATAAATAAATGGAATTGCTAATGTTTGTACTGTAATGAAGAAGATGTGAGATTGTTTTATAGACCAGGGGTTTTGAAACTTTTTAATGTCAAGGGCCCCGATATATTTTGATCCCCTTCCGAAGGCAGCTGTACATTTTTATTTTTTCATAAAAGACCCATGTAAACTGTGTTAGAAACAGTGTGGTATAAAGGCAACATGTTTGCAAAATTAAATTGGCGAAATTAACTTTGTGCTTTTCACAATTCTGGCAACTGAACAATGAAGAAGGTTACAGATGAACAGATAATGATGATTCCCCATTCCTAAAATATCAATACAGCTATATATAGTTTATCCATAAAATACCCACTTATATGTGAGAAAAAGTGTGATTTTGATTTTGGCAAAAATAAATAATTGGCTTTTATATTGTTAGTTTACTAAAGCTAATGCAAAATTCCAAAAAATATTATCTGGAAAATATTAACTTTAACTTTAAATATTAACTTCTACTTCCATTTTGTAAAATCTTTTTTTCCCCTCATATTTTTTATGGACCCATTAGAATCTTCTTTACTTTTTTTTATACCCTGGTATAGACACATGTGTGTGGTCATGTTGTAGTTTTCATGTGACAAGTCTTCCAACCATAACAGTATAATTTTATTATTAAGTATAATAAAAAAGATCATCCACTAAAATCCTCAGGACATTTCCTAACGTAAGACTACCTTGATGCTTTAAACATGCAATCACAAGGATGTCATCTTCCCATTATTCATGCATATTATATATTACAGCTGTGAACAACTGGTGTAGATGTGTAGAACATGTTACTTGGCATATCACTAACCTGTTCTTCATCCTACAGGGTGACTCTGGTGGTCCTATGGTCAGCAAACAGGGTTCGGTCTGGATCCAGTCTGGAGTTGTGAGCTTTGGCGAAGGTTGTGCTAAATCAAACTTCCCTGGTGTGTATGTCAGAGTGTCTAAGTACCAGGACTGGATCAATGGGTATATCACCACCAACAAGCCAGGCTTCATTACGTTCAACTCCAATGGTACTGACGGTGACCTGAGCATCAGCTGTGCTGATGTGCCTGCCATCCCGACAACTACTGCCCCTACAACTACACCTGTCCCACGTAAGGTTCCTTCAAGTTATAAGATCCTGAAAAAACATGCATACATTGTTCACTTGGCAACTTGTCCAAGGACTTTTACCTGATTTCAAAGTGTTTCACTTAAATTCAGATAGACACATATTTATATTACTAGTGAATGAAATTCAGTCAAGCAAGGTGAAAGAGGCACAGAGCTCCAGACCCAATGCGACAAAAAACATTGCTACAATAATTTAAAATGCATTCAAAATTGCCCACACTTTCATCAGATATCATCATTTCATTAGAGCGTGCCACAGTGTTTCCTAAATGCAACAATGAACAAACAAATGTCTTTTTAATGAGCCAGTCAAAAGTAATCATGAAAAAGCTTCATGCTTGTGACTTGATTCAGACTTGCTATAATAATATACAATAAACACTATGGTAACACTTTACAATAAGGTTCATTTATTAAATATTAGTTAATGTATTTATTAACATGAACTAACCATGAGCAATACATTTGTTACTGTTTTTGTTCATCTTTGTTAACGTTAGTTAATACAGCTGTTTCATATAGTTCACAGTGCATGAACTAATGTTAACAGTTAATGCTAATAACCTATATACTATTATGTATAATATACACTCACGGTGTGCTAAAATATTACTTGAAATTCATGATCCTAACCTTGACCTCCATACTGAAATATCAGTTGGCCCGACAGCGATTCATCTTTTCTGTATCATTTAAATACTGGTTTCTGGGGACCAGAGATGGACAGTAGTGACGTATTTTTACTTTACTCAAGTAATTTTTTCAAGTATCTGTACTTTATCAGAATGTTTTTCTTTGGAAAACTTTTACTTCACAATATTCCAAATCATAATTTCATGCATTTCATAAATAAAAGTCCATGGTCCAAAAAAAATCTTTTTAACCTTTGATACTTAAGTACATTAGAAATGTTGTACTTTCTTACTTGTACTCAAGTAAAACTTTGAATTGCTTTTACTTGAGTAAAAGTAATAAAGTACTAGATTTACAATGTAATTCAGTATTAAATTAAATTAAATTGAAACATAGTGCAGTAAAAAGTACAACAGTATGCTTTGGAATGTTGTGAAGTAAAAGTTTTCCAAAGATAAACACTTTGATAAAGTACAGACACTTGAAAAATGTGACCTCCTTGTTCTTAAGTTACTTATCTGTCCACTGATCATTGACGAGTTTTGGTAAAAGCCGAAAGACGTGACTATTCAAACAATGGCCAGAAAGCCTGTTCTCCCAGTACACTACACAGCTTTCATGAGATATGTTCTATGCTAATGGACCATATCTGTGTAGCCTGGGAAAACCCAGACAACTTCCAGGCAAATTTAGATTTGCTCTGAAAGTTAGTCTGGCAAAGAGCTCATTCAAGCCCATTTCCAATCCGTCGAAATCGAGGCACCAATCAGAAACGCTGGGGCGGGCTTTACACGATGACGACAGCAGATTTTTTGTAGCCTACATTACAAAGATGGATGCCGCCGTCGAACATCACTCGTTCGAATCAGCTATCGCGTCTGTTTTAAGCGATTTGAACGTTTCCTTTTTGTTAAAAACCGAGCAAAGAACAACACTCGGAGATGTTTCTCCGCCGCCCTGCATACGTCATCTCCTTCATCGCTCTGATTGGTTTTAGGTCTATCCGCGACGTCCGTTGGTGACGCCCCTCTGGAAATGATTTGTCTATGACGCTTTGCCAGACCATAACTCAGTTACAACTGAGAATGGTCTGGTTTTAACCAGGCTAATATCTGTGTAGTCTAAGCATAACAAATTTGTTGTTGCTCTTTAAGGCAGCCATATAAAAGTCTCAAAGAAAACAAATCAAAGAAACATTTGACTGATAAAACCCGGCATCATTGTCTTTCTCTCTGTTCCTGTAGCTGTAGTGTGTGGAAGTGCCAGTCTGAACACCCGTGTAGGAGGAATCAGCTCCCTTGTGTCTCCAGGCATATGGCCATGGATGGCCAGTCTGCAGTTTAACGGCAGTCACGTTTGTGGAGGAGCGCTGATTGCTGAACGCTTTGTCATGAGCTCTGCCAGCTGTTTTACCAGGTAATGGCACTTAAATATGAAAAAAGGACATTTGATTAGAGAAATCAGATTGATTTGATGCAATGGAATACTTATTTGTCCAGCTCCAACAATACCTCCGATTGGACCGTGATCCTGGGCCGTCTAAATCAGAACGGCTCCAACCCCAATGAGGTCTCTATAAAAGTGGCGAATCTCAATATCAGCAAAACCACAGGCGACAACGTTGCAGTCTTGCAGCTGGCCGTTGCACCAAACCTTACAAGTTTCATCCAGCCTATATGCGTGGACATGGGAGAAAATACCTTCAGCGCTAATACTCAATGCTGGGTGGCAGGATGGGGCTCAGGAGCAGGAGGAGGTGTGTTTTGTGTGTGTGTGGTTTGGGTAAATCCTATGTTATGGGGATAAATGTCCCCCCAAAATAAATATGTTGGTCCCCATGAGGAAAACAGCTTATAAATCATACTAAGTGATATTTTTTGAAAATGTAAAAATGCAAGTATAAAAAAATCATTATGTCTATGGAAATATGGAAAATGTGTGCGTGTCCTGCTAAACCCTACTTTATGGGGACATAATGTCCCCACAAGGATGGCAATATCTGAAATCCCTGTCCTTATGGGGACATTGTTTGGTCTATTGGTCTAAATAATAATAAGTTATGTTTTCTGTAATGGGTAGGTTTAGTGTGTGTGTGTGCACGTGTGTGTGCGCGTGTGTGTGCGTGTGTTTGTGCGTGTGTGAATCCTTTGAAACATCACTAACTGCTAAAATTAGATTATTAGAATGTTTATCCTTTTTCCATGTCTTCCAAATTTGAAGTTGTTTTCCTTCTTTTATAGTGAATCAAACTCTTCAGGAATTCAAGACCTCTATTGTGGATTGTGTAAATGCAAGCAACAGTATTTGCACAAGTTCTTTGAACTTACAGCAGGCAAGTTAATTATGTTTACAACAGGAAGGAAATGTAATATATTTACAGTTTACAATAAGGTTTAGTTTATTATTATTAAATGCATTAGTTGACTTGAACTAAAATACGTTTAGATCAAGTTAGATGAATGTTCAATTCTATATATTAATACATTTCAAGTTGTATTAACATTAGTTAATGAATTATGAACAAACATTAGTTAACAATGAACATTGTACATTCTAAATTAACATTAACAAATGCTAAAACAAAAATTGTTGTTCATTATTAGTTCATGATTCCTATTTCATTAACTTATTTCAATAAAACTAACCAAGGCTGCATTTATTTAATCTAAAATACAGTATAACAGCAACATGAATTATTATAATTTAAAATAGCTGTTTTTTATTTAAATATATTTTAAACTGTAATTTATTCCTGGATGGTAAAGCTGAATTTTCAGCATCATCACTCCAGTCTTCAGTGTCACATGATCCTTTAGAAATCAGTCTAATATGATGATTTGATGCTCAAGAAACATTTATTATTATTATCACTGTTGAAAACAGTTGTGCTGCTAGATATTTTTTTATTTGAAATAGATTTTTTTTTTTACTTATAAATTTTACTTAGACTTTCATTGATTAATTAAAAGCATATTTACTGAATAGAAGTTTATGTTTAATCTTACTGACAAAACTTTTGAACAGTAGTTTATGTTCCAATTGTATGAAAACTAAACTTTTTCATATACCAGATTTTTTTCTCTCCTGAAAATGAGTATCAGTCAGCAAAGATATGTGACAAATAACAATTTTTGTAACATTTAATAAAGATTTCCCTCTCTCTCTCTCTCTCTCTCTCTCTCTCTCTCTCTCTCAGGGTGATCAAGGGGGTCCGCTGATGTGTAAGCAGGGTCTGTCATGGATCCATGCTGCTGTTTTGACCTTAAAACCGAGCAGCTCTAATACGAGCTCCAGCAACAGCACTGCATCATCCCGCTCTCTCCGTGTAGATGTCCAGGCATTTACTAAAACCTCCAGCTTTGCATCATTCCTGAGAGATTTGGTGGGCTCTTTCCCTCAAAAAGTCACAAGCCCCACTGCACCTACAAACAGCACCAACACAACCCAAGCTAATGGGTCACAATTATCTTCTTCCTTCTCTTTGACCCTTTCTGTCCTGTTCCTCTCACATGCAGCTTTCCAAATCTTTCTTCAAGGCATCAATTGAGTTTTTTGAGTAGAAGGGGACATTTTTCATTAACGATGAGTGTGACTGTAAATTTTCAGTGTGTTCCATATGACCCATTATATAATCAAACAGCATGAAAAGCTTTTGTGGAGCACATCATTCATTTTTACTTCTGACAAATGTGAACTCTTAAGATCTTTGTTATCTCACACCAAGCTGTTGCCTGTTGTTCTTACACTACAATTACATTGTATGATTGTCTCTGGCAGTACCTTAAAACAAGTGCATAGCTAATAATTTGTGTAAGCAGGTGGTTTACATATATTTGCATTGTAGCAGATTCAGCATGGCACTTTATGGAAATGTCCCAATTTGAGTGGTTCAGTTCTAATACTGACTATAACGTATGTTAACTAACAAATACCTCAAGCTGTTCCACACTTGGGATATTATATTAGTGTTTGCAAAAATCATTTTTCACAACATTTTTGGAAGAATGTGTAAACTATATTTTTCTGATGTTTTTTTTGTACAACCTTTTATCTATTTTCTGTTTGTTTTTTTATGAAAAGTTCTATGATTTCATATGAAGGAAGTAACTTTTCAATGCACTGTTAAAATGTGAAAAGTGATGTATTTTTTAGGTTGTAAAAATTATTCAATTAAAATAACAATTTAAGCTGGAAAACAAGACGTTGTTGAGCATTTATTTGAAGGATCCTGGGTGAGAAGCAGAGGTAAGAATCTGCCTTATATTCTGCATAGTTACAAACGTGATCCTGTGCAGTTTACCTCTGAATCCCTATAAGATCAACACAAAACATACTGCCTGAAGCATCTCACAAAACCTGTATTTTCACCTTCCCGGACAAACATTAAAGGTCACTTTATTAATTATTTAATAGAATAGAACAGTTGAAAATGCATTATTTGGCATGGCAAGTTAAAGATAAGAAGCCGTTTAATGGTCACCTTTTAAAATGGTATAGAGAGAAAAAATATTTAAGCACACTATGTAAAACCTTTTTTTCATCTATGACCATGTCCCTTTGAAAGCACAATATGATAAGATAACACAAGGCACATTTCAATAAGATGTGTGAAATGATTACATTGCTTTAAATCTTTGTTACTATCAGTTTATAAAGCGACGTGAATTGTTTTTATATGGGTGGTGTAATATAAGTTTTACAGTAAATGTTAAAAGGCACTAATTCCAAGGTCCAAGTGACGTAATTCCATGTTTTTTGAAACCAGTGTGTAGTGAAAATGTTGAAAATGAATGTTCTTTCATCTAAAAGAACATACCATCTTTATTACGTCTAAATCTGAGATCTAAAATTATCTTATTCCACACGAAAGAATGGAAATGTTAGCCTCTTGTTATAATTTAAGTTTCTTAAGATTTTGTATTAATATGAGAATGTATATTTTGTAGAACTAAAGTATAGACCTACTTAAAATATGTATACAGTCCAATATCAGATACTCCTTATTTATGTTTCATGTTTAAAGTTTCATAATCAGTTGCTTGTAATATTCCATTTCTGTTGACTGTGACTTATAATACCATACAGTACAGAATCGATACACAGGACTAACAATTGCCTCTTTATGATAGAGTTGTGTAATACATTCTGTCATAATGTCTGTATGAAGGACAGGAAACAATCGCAAGTTAACAGATTTAATGAGTGATAAGATGAGAACAGTACAAGCAGGTGGAACACAGTGACGCAGGGACTTCGATGGCCAGGATCCGTGATGAGGTGCTGTGCAGAGGTGACGGTGAGAAGACAGGAGACCCAGATGCGAACGACGAGGAACAGGAACATGAAGCAGGAACAGAACACCAGAACACCAACACGCAGGACATCAAACAACGATCTGACAGGGATGATAGAACAGCGGTAAGTATTTAAGGAGTTGTGAGATTGATTGCAGCTGGTGATGAATGACGATCAGCTGGAGTGGATCAGGTGATGTCATACACTCACGCCCACTACACACGTGCACTCACACAACAACATAAACACAAGACTAGAAGGAACGGAGAATATGTCTACCGTGATCTACAGTAATCTACAAAACTCTTGCCAAAATTTGGACACGAACTGGGGTCCCCTGTCGGAAACCACGTCAATCGGGAGGCCATGTAACCGAAAGACGTGGTCAACGACCGTCACCGCTGTCTCCTTAGCTGAGGGTAATTTGGGTAAGGGAACAAAATGGGCTGCCTTCGAGAACCGGTCCACCACAGTCAAAACGACTGTGTTCCCCTGAGAAGGGGGGAGGGCGGTGATAAAATCTAGAGCGATATGGGACCAGGGTCTCGAAGGAACCGACAGCGGCTGAAGTAACCCGTCTGGAGGTCGATTGGAAGTCTTGCCAGTGGCACAAACCGAGCAGGCCAAAACAAAATCGTGAATGTCGCGAGCCATAAGTGGCCACCAGAATCGTTGCTTGACTAAAAAGCTAGTGCGATTAACTCCTGGATGGCAAGCTATATTGGAGCCATGACCCCACTGGATAACGTCTGACCGTAATCCCTCCGGCACAAACAAACGATTCGGTGGGCAACCGGGCGGAGGCGTTACCCCTTCTAAGGCCTTCACGACCCTCGATTCGACCTCCCATGTGAGTGTGGAAACAAATAGAGTTTCGGGTAAAATGCACTCGGGAGTAAACGGGCGTTCGGAAAAATCAAATATGCGAGACAAGGCGTCAGGTTTGATGTTCTTAGAACCCGGACGGTATGAAAGAGTAAAATCAAAACGACCGAAAAAAAGTGCCCACCGAGCCTGCCTGGAGTTCAATCTTTTGGCGGTTCTGATGTATTCTAGGTTCTTGTGATCAGTCCAGACGATAAAAGGTACCCCCGACCCTTCTAACCAGTGGCGCCATTCCTCCAATGCTAGCTTAACTGCCAACAGCTCTCTGTTACCAATGTCGTAGTTACGCTCGGCTGGTGACAAACGGTGGGACAAAAACGCGCAGGGATGCATCTTGTCGTCTGCCGGAGAGCGTTGGGACAACACTGCACCTACTCCCACCTCTGACGCGTCGACCTCCACCATGAACTGACGTGAGGGATCAGGGGCGACAAGGATGGGGGCTGAAACGAAGCGGCCTTTCAGTTTGGTAAACACGGCTTCCGCCGTGTCAGACCACCTGAACGTAGTTCTGGGGGAGGTCAAGGCGGTCAGAGGTGCGACTAGTTGGCTGAAATTGCGAATAAAACGCCGGTAGAAATTGGCGAACCCCAGGAACCTCTGCAGGGCCTTGCGAGAATCCGGGGTTGGCCAATCCACCACAGCCTTGATCTTCTCAGGGTCCATCCGCATACCTTCAGACGACACGATGTGCCCCAAGAACGGAACCGACTGTGCATGAAAATCGCATTTCTCCGCCTTGACAAAAAGCCCATTCTCTAGCAACCTCTGAAGCACTCGTCGGACGTGTTGCACATGTTCCTGGAGAGAAGAAGAAAAAATCAATATGTCATCCAGGTAGACATATATGAACTGATCGATCATATCTCGCAACACGTCATTGACCAGTGCCTGGAAAACTGCTGGGGAGTTGGACAACCCAAAAGGCATAACCAAATATTCAAAGTGCCCCCTGGGGGTGTTAAAAGCAGTTTTCCACTCATCCCCCTCCCTAATGCGAACCAAATGATAAGCGTTACGCAAATCCAATTTTGTGAAGATAGACGCTCCCTGCAACCTCTCGAAAGCTGAAGACATCAGCGGCAAAGGATACGTATTCTTTACCGTGATGTTATTCAACCCCCGGTAATCAATACAAGGTCGCAGAGAACCGTCCTTCTTCCCCACAAAAAAGAACCCCGCCCCCGCTGGAGAAGAGGAAGGGCGAATGAACTTGGTTGCTAGAGAATCAGAAATGTATTTCTCCATAGCCTCTCTTTCAGGAATAGAAAGTGAATATAATTTGCCTTTAGGCGGAGACTTACCTGGCAGTAAATCTATAGCACAGTCATAGGGACGATGCGGAGGAAGAGAAGCAGCACGAGACTTACTGAACACCTCCTTCAGGTCCAGATACTCTGCGGGCACGTTAGACAGATCCCCTGTTTCCTCCTGAAAAACAGAAACAGGCACAGACGAACAAGCAGACACGAGACAAGACTTATGACATTCCTTGCTCCACTCCAGCACTGATCCATGAAGCCAGTCCACCCGGGGATTGTGTTGGAGGAGCCAGGGATGTCCGAGGACGACGGGTGCAAGAGGTGAATCCATGATGTAGAATGAAACTGTCTCAGAGTGATTGCCAGAGGTGATAAGGGTAATGTCTTGAGTGGAGAGGGAAATGGTGGGGAGTTCTTGTCCATTGAGTGCGTGAACTGCGATCCTATGAGTGAGAGGTCTGAGGGGAATCTGAAATTTCTGTGCAAAATTGTGGTCCATGAAATTACCTTCAGCCCCAGAGTCCAGAAGTGCTTGGCAGTCGTGCTGGTGGACTGACCATCTTAGTCTTACCGGGAGGAGCGTGGAGGTAGATGTGATCGCTGATGAGGTCTTCCTGGCGGAGATCCCACCCGATAGTAGCCTCAAGTTTACTATCGGGCTTGGCCTTTTACCGGACAATTATACGCAAAATGTCCCGCTCCTCCACAATACAGGCAAAGGCCATGGGACCTCCGCCTCTCCCTCTCCTCCCGGGAAAGCCGAGCTCGACCCACCTGCATGGGCTCGGGATCGTAGACGGGGCTGACCACGTCCCTGCCGCTGGATCGTGTCCCGTCATTCCCTCCGAAGGTACGGGTGGACGGCACCCGACGCTCGACTCTTGACAGTCGGGCGTCCACCCGCAGAGCTAGATCAATGAGACCATTCAGTGTGGTCGGCAGATCCAGGGCGTAAATCTCCTTCTGGACGTGGTCAGCCAACCCATGCAGGAACATATCCCACTGCGCCTCCTCGTTCCAGCCGCACTCCGCCGCCAAGGTCCGAAACTCGATCGAAAAGTCGGAGACAGACTTCTCTCCCTGCCGAAGATCCGCCAATGTTCTGGCTGCCTCCCTCCCGGAGACAGCCCGATCGAAAACCTTTCTCATCTCGGCGGCGAGGGTCTGGAACGAGGCGCAGCATGGATTCTGATTCTCCCACACCGCCGTCCCCCAAAGCGCCGCCTTCCCGGTAAGCAATGTCAATACAAATGCCACTTTTGCCGGTTCCGTGTTGAAAGTGTGTGGCTGAAGAGCGAAGTGCATAGAGCAGCGTGTAAGAAACGCTCTGCAAAATGCTGGTTCTCCAGCATATGACTCCGGTACCGGTAGGCGGGGCTCGGTCTGCGATGATCTCACTGGGGGTGGTGGGGGAACGGCCGGCGTGGGCGGCGCAGCGGGATTCTGTAGGCGTTGGATCTGCTGGGTGAGCTCGGACACCTGCGTCACTAATGCTTGTACTGCCCGGCCCGTGTCGCCGATATCCCGCTGTTGAGAATCCATCCTCCGAATGCTGTGTTGGATAAACTCTTCTAAAGATCCCGAAGACGAACTTGCTGCTTCCATTTGCGGGTCAGATCGTTCTGTCATAATGTCTGTATGAAGGACAGGAAACAATCGCAAGTTAACAGATTTAATGAGTGATAAGATGAGAACAGTACAAGCAGGTGGAACACAGTGACGCAGGGACTTCGATGGCCAGGATCCGTGATGA